GTTGTAACGTTATTATTAGGCCTATTACATGCGATTGTTAACAACCGGTTCGTGGAGGTCATTAAATTCTAAGAATAGGTTTGCACGAACAGGCTGAATCCCACCACTGGATACAAAATGACCAAAGTTTCAGAAAGAAACTTTGCTGGTCTTTGGAACATTTGAAAATGCCTATCTTTCAGAAGGAGCAAAAATCTATTGCACAGGAATTCCAAAGCCAACTGTGTATGTATGTATGTTTCAAGTTTCATCTACATCTAGAAAAAAAAAAAAGGTGTTTGTAGTTGTCATCTTTATGAATGTTCCCAACCTTTTCATCACCAAGGACAGAGCATGTTGGAGGCTATATAAACTACTAACTCAGATGCTTCAAAATCAGTGATGCCAAGTAGGGAAGCCAACTATTCTCAGAGAGATGGAAAAAATTCCCAAATGTTTGCAAAAGTTCCCAATAGTGCAGGGTAAATTAAGAAAAAAGTGCATTAGATTGTGTGCATTATTAAAATATAACTTATATAAATATTTACAAATGTAGAACTAACTAATAATAGATAAATTATTTATTCAATATAAAAATAATAATCGTTTATTTTGGTCCTTACAACTGCATGAAAAATAATAGACACGTTTATGTTGTATAATAGGGCACAAACTAAAAATTTGGAACCTTTGAAAAATCTAAAGGTATTCTATTTTATGAATGTGGTTGCATTGATATATATAATTTGTTTAATTGTTTTATTAATTAAAAAGTGTAGACTTGCAGAGTCATTGTGCAGTAAGGATCAACATAGGTGACCAATGTGAAAATAATTATACACTAAGGATTTCTACTTTCTAAAAAATTCCAAATTTTGTATGCTTTTCTTTAATAAATTCCCAAATATTCATTTCTTAAAAAATATCAAGGGAATTGTGGAATTTTTTCCCAGACTTTGCACTACTGTTCAAAACCCTCAAAATGGCGGGCTACCGCCAGTGGCTAAACTTTCTTGAAACTGGTTCTCTCGTTTAATTATTTTTTGACATGCCGCTCCTGGTAGCCCCTGCCCAGCTTCTTTATGTTAGTCTTTCCGTCCGGGTATAATGAATAAAATTATATAATTTTAAGTTTAAAAGTAGCTAAGAACCTTAGTGACAAAAATGTTATCTTCTGTATAGAAAGTTTATTTGTTAAAATATTTTCATGTTTGTTATCAAAAAGTGTAAAATATTTTCTTATTGCCAGTATATATAGCTATTATTTTCTAGTTTATTTATGAATAATATAATATTACCCATAAAAACAATATTATTATCACAAACTATTAAAACTCTTTTCAGGTGATATATAAAAATATCATCTATGTTACGAAAAGAGAGAAGGTACGAATGAATAGGAAAGGCAAAAATGGCATGCAAATGAACAGAAGTTTGAATAACACAAAATGTTTTTTGTTTTATAAATCCTTAGATTTTCATAACTGAAATGGGGAGTAATACTTGTCCCATTTGGACCCTACAGGTATATTCTAATATAGTTTAACCTCTGAAGTATTAAAAGTACGTACAGCTACTTGCATTCATCAGATGAGCTCAGTGGTGGAGGAAGGAAGTCCTCAATATTGTTATTTGACTCCATGTCTGTCCTTTGTTTTTGGCTTAATTTCATAGCCTGAGCTCGAGTCACAGAACACGAGGGAAACAGTGATTGGCTCATTAACCATTTTAGGCTCGACAACAACTTTTCCCCAACCAAATCGTTTCCCAACAACAATGATACACCCTTAATTGGCAGAGTTGGTCTTACCGCAACAGGTCCCAAATCTAGGTCTGATGCTAAATAAATATTATGAAGAGGAGCATTAACAAAGCTACCCTCAATACCTTGAGCAATAACAGACTCACCAATGGCAGAGCTCAAATCTAAAGGCAGTACACCTTCTAACAACAATGATTGAGTCACCCCAGTATCACATAGAATACGTATGGGTTTGCCAGTGTCATTTTTAACAGACACAGAACCAACAGGCACAAAAGGGCTAAATTCCTCCCTGATTATATCAGTGGCCACATCAACAACATTGGGTGATCTGGTGAAACTACGTCCATATGTGCACACAAACGCACTGGGTATTGCCTCCTTTTCTTTCTTCTTTTTCAAACCCAAACAAATGGCAGACGGGCCTCAATGGTTTTGTTGAAGTTTTAGCCCAACCGTATGAAGATTTTGAACTAGAGAAGCTGGATTTTTTGAAGAATCCTCAACTTCAGTGGGACAAACAAGTACAGGTTTTTGTTAAAATGGTAGGAATTTCTTTTTCTGAAAAGTGGTTTTATGTTTTAAAGTGTAGTCATCAGAAAGAGTGGCTGCTTCCTGTAGAGTATCGGCTTTCTTTTCATCCAAGTAAGTTTTGAGTTCGTCACATGCACAACATTTAAATTCCTCAATTAGACATAATTGTCTTAGTCTGTCGAAACTATCGCCAATATGCATTGATCAAAATAAACTTCTTTTACATGGGCAAATTCCATATAAGTTTGATTATCTTGTTTCCAATAACCACTAAACTTTTGATGATAAGCCTCTGGTACTTACTAACTCGTATGCTTTGAGTATTGCTGCTTTAACCTTATCATAATTTGTACAATCTTCTAAAGAGAGAGCAGCATAAGCTTCTTGTGCTTTACCAGTTAAGACACTTTGTAATAATAATGACAATTTTTCGGTGTGCCATTCCATGGTTGGAAATATTTATCTACTTCATTTTCATTAAACGGTGGTACTTTAACATATCGATTAAGCTCAGAGTTGTTATTTTGCCTTGGTCAATCACAGTTAAGTCTAATTTCTTTAAGCCTAATTTCATTCTCGGCTTCAATTCGAGTTCGTTTGGCCTCAATATGAGCTCATTCGTTCTCGGTTTCAATATGAGCTCGCTCGTTCTCGGCTTTAATACGAGTTTGTTTGGCCTCGAGGCATTTACTCTCTCTTTCAGCTTCAATACGAGCTCTATTTTTTTTTTTAACTGGATCTCTAATTTATCCTTATAACTTAACCTCGATTGGTTAGTAGGGACACTAGAGTATTCCCCTCGAGTGTTCCTCGGGCAACAAATCATCATCGATTAGTATTTCGATAATACGCTTTTTTAGTACATTTTTTCTCATTCTTCTTTTAACTTCTAGTTCTAGAATCTTAGCAATTTATTTTTGTTATATTTTTCCAACTGTTCTAGGGAGGGTGATACAAAAAAATCTTGATAATCCGACATGATCAAATCTTGTTGGCACTGATAAATATAAGTTCAATTATGATTTAAATTATAATTTAGACCGAATTTTATCTCTGATTCAAATCATAGACATGAGCCCCCAATTTATTATGTTATGTATTGAGAATTTGAAGTAATCCAAGGCCATGTTAAATAATTTAACTTTTAATGGTTGAACTGTACCCTGGATTTTGTGTTTAGAAGTATGCCAATATTTTATTTTATTTATGCTATTCGCCAACAAGATTGATTCATGCCCTTTTTGTTTTGAAACAAATATGTTTTAATATGTATATATATGTACAACACTATAATTTACAACAGCAACTATTATGATTAATTATTACAAACAAAGTTTTATAGACAGAAATTTCACTAACTTACAAATAGTCTAAAACCATCTTCCTAGT